CCTCTGGCGGTGATTAACATGGGTCCACATACATCAGTATGTATTAGTCCCAGCAATTCTGTGGCTCTTTCTCCTTTTCCAGTAAAAGGGAACTTGGTCATTTTGTCTAACAGGCACGACTCGTATTTGTCAAATGATTCAAAATCAGTTGACCCCAAGTATCCATCTTTATGTAACTTGAAAATGCGTTTGTCGTTAATATGACCCAATCCGCAATGCCAGAGGTATGTATTATTTAGATTATCACTTTTATGCCTTTTACTTTCTATACTCATAATAGATGACTCAGTATCGAGAATATAAATTCCATTGTACAACACACCACAACCATAAAAGATCTCATCTTTATAAAACGAACAACGATTGTTCTTAACATTAATTGAAAGACCATTCATGTTCAAACACGAACTAGAAATAATGTTTTTAGTAATGGCGAAAACAAAATAGCAATTTTCTAATTCTAATACTAAGTCTGAAGGCAATGATAAGAAGTATGTCCCTACAACTAATGTAGCAACTCTTGCTCCATTCCCCACGCGCAGGTCAACTTCTCTTTTCTGCAGTGGTCTACTTCTCATTAGTCTCCGCATATTTATACAAATATGAGATCCACATCCGGTATCTAATACCCAAGAAGCTAATGAAGTAGACATATTAACATCGATAACAAAAATACCTGAAGTAGAAGTTTCAGAAGACTTCTTTCTCTTCAAGCTAGCGAGGTAAGCCTTGCAGTTCCTCTTTCAATGACCTTTCACTCCATAGTGATAGCATGGGTCATTAGATTTGGTATTGTCCTTGCCTGCTTTGACTGCTTTGTTATTGCCCTTAGTCTTTTTAGATGTTTTCTTAAAACTTCCTTTGATTTTCCTCTTAATGCCCTTGGAGGAATGAATAGCTAAGACATGCCCAGTGCTTACCTTGACATTGGGCTCTATAATTTTTCATGATCCATGATAAAACCCAATGAACCCAGTTTCTCAATGAAACCAATCATCTTCAGCACATGAGCACTGACTGAAGATCCCTCTTCCATTTTGCACCAATATAGTTGTTTGGAGGTCTCATACCTCTCCACATAAGATTGTTTATCATACAACTCCTTGAAATAAAAAATCATAGTGTAAGCATCCATACCCTCATGTTGCTTCTGCAACTCAGGTGACATAGCTGCAAGCATCACACATGCTGCAGTGTTGTCGCCATCACTGTGTTTGTTGTAAGCAGCCACCTCTTCCTGAGTGGAATTTTTAGTAGGCACCTGTGGAAATGGCTGCTCAAGGATATACCCAATTTTCTCATGCTTGAGAACGATTCTCAAATTGCGGTGCCAATCGAGAAAATTTGGTCCGGTCAGTTTGTTGGCATCCAGTATGCCTCTCAAATTCATATAATTACTCATGATTCAAAAACTGTAAATGAGGAAAAATATAGAATTAATATGTATTATAATGCATATGCACAAATTCAATATGGACTTTAATTAAACGTGCTCCCACTGTTTAAAATAAATTCATGATCCTCATACATAAATTATTTGAATCCACATTTGATTCCCAGTGGACTGGGATCCCATTCGTTGTATCAAGATTTTGAGTGTACTCAAAAAATCTTAATAAAATATTTGTGTAGATATTATTATCAATTGTATCTCCATACAATTTTCAGATCATTAAGCTGACAACTCTTTTGTCTTCACACATCTTATGTGTTAGTTTAACATGCTCTAAAACTTATCTTCTTGAGTGTACTCAACAAAAGATAAATTTTAGTTAAGTCAAACCCATCATTCAGAAATATCAAATATTTCATAGTGTCAAACATATCCCTAATATATATATACGTAGGCCTAAAAGAAATCAGACTTGCAGGCCCATAATAATAACAATAACAATGGACTCGCAGGCCCAATATAATAAAGAGCTCGTAGGCGCATAACAACAACAATAATAATGGACTCACATGTCCAAAACAATTAAGGGCTCGCAGGCCCATAAAACAACAAGATGTAAATCAACCATTCAACACATCCATATAGTCGAGTCCATAATCATTCATAAATAAACATTCATCACATAAATGTTTCCTACGTATAATATCTAATATTACATGCAATATCTCATAAATCTAGCAATTATAGTCATCAAAACTAATTCAAAATTTTGGATCGAAATAATTAATTAATTAATTAATCATATTAATTAATTAACTTAATTGACGGGGCTATTTAATTAAAATCAAATTTTAACTAAATCCCGAATTAGAGTCCAACTCTAATTTCATAACTATTGAGCGAAGTAATTTAATCAAAATCAAATTTTAATTAATTATTAAATTAAAGTCTTACTCTAAATTTTAATTTGCATTGGGGAAGTAGTATTAATTGAAATCAAATTTTAATTAACATAATAATATAGTCGAACTCTAATAAAATCGAATTAATATTTTAACTTAGGACAAAACTCCCAAATAAAATAAAAATTCAATTTAGGGTCAAAATTAAATATTTAAGTTAAAATCTAATTTTAACAAAAAATATTAAAGTCGTCAATTTTAAGTAAAATTTTAAATCTGGGTCAAAATTAAAATTATGGGTCAAACCCATTTAAAATATAATTTTAAAATCAATTTTAAAATCAAATTCAAAACACTTTTGAAAATTGCAAATTTGACCCAATTGGAAAAATTAATAATAGGGGCTTCCTTATTCGTAAATTGCAGAAATGCCCTCCATTTAAAATTGCAGATTGACCCCCTTTCCTTTAATTGCAGACGAGTCCTCATAATTTCATAAATTTCAAGGGAAGCCCCCGTCTCCATCACCCAAATCTGAAAAACCCTAGATGATTTTTTTTTTCCTCTAATAAGGCGCCCCCACTGGAAGGCAAGACCCGCCGCCTTGTGGCGACGGGTCCTGCTGCCCAAAACAGCAACGCGAAGGCGTTGCTGGTAGCAGCGGCTGTGATGCTGATGCAACATCGACAGCATCGCAGCCGCTGCTGGCAGTGCCTGTCAGCAGCGTGTTGCTGTGCGCTGGCGGTGACGCTGCCACCACCCGCTAGACCCAATTTTTTTTTTTCCAAAATCAAATTTTGAAGGAATTAAATTAAACACTATAATTGCTAGATTCAGAAATAAACATGATTAAATCAACTTTTAATTTAATCAACATGTAAATCAGTTCTTAACAAATACAAAGTTGGCTCTGATACCACTGTTGGGAATTACTTAAACATGCACAGCAGAAATAAAAACAATTTCAATTCCTACCAGGATTCATCTTTGTATTTAGATAAGAACTGTGATGAAAATTATACTTTTTCTTGAATTCGCAAACTCCTTTGCGTTAGCTTTGTTCCAACAATTTGAATCTGCCTCCTACAGCTGTCCAATTGTCCAGCCTCCAATGAATTTCACACAGAGAATAGACTGCGACTGTTAGGGTTTCTCCTCTTGTGCTAGCAAGAATTATGAAATCTATATAGATCTAAAACCCTAGCCATGTATTTATATAAGCATAAACGGGCTCGGCCCAGTCCGGTCAAATATTTAATTAATCCATTTAATTAAATCCGGTCCGTAAATTAATTAATCCAATTAATTAATTCGGGATTATAAATAACCAATCCAATTAATTAATTTATCCAACGATTGTTAAATTAATTAATTGGCAATTTGCAATCTTCCAATTCTCTTTTGTGTGCGACCCATCAGGTTCCCGATCACGATACTTAACGACATGAAATATTATTTTGATCTAATTAAAACTGATAAATTAAACACCCTTTTAATTTATCACAAATTCACACTCGTTGTCCCAGATTGACATCTAGTAATGTATCAGGGCAACACATATGACGAGAAATGTCACGTGGTATGACAAAACCAAACATGTTCGTTTACCATGAAACTATAATCACTTCGTCAATATGATCTGATCAATTACGAAATATGAAAGTGTGTCAATCTCAATTATCGATTGTATCTTTCATTCTACTATTAAGTCAATATGAGTTGAAAACTCATTTTCGACTTATGTGTATACCTTGGCCAAGGATTTCGTTATTGACTTAATTGAACGAAATGCAGATCACGATCTCTTACTATCAAAGAGTGACGAATCTTCTATTGGTCATTCACAACCTTCATATGGTTTTTGACATACCCGAACGATGCCGTATTAGCGGTCCTTGGTAGAGCAACATCCAACACCGTCAAAGCATGAATGTTCTCATACAAGGTACTATGACGACCTCAAGTCATAGAACCAATTCCACTACCGAACGTTAGAGATTAACCACTGACACTCAGATAGTTATCCATGTGGAATCTCTTAGCGAGTCTCCAATATTTTGTTTCATAACAAAACATCCACGTGTTCATTTAAGTGTCACTACACTTTAGCTTGTGTGATCAGCTACTTATTTCACAAGTAGGAAATGTCACACGTAATGGTCTATCTGCAATAACGGTATCTGTATCTCGTTATTACTTACGACCACGGATTATTCAAGATCCAATCATAAGTAATTTGTATCTCACAATCAGAACTCCTTTTGATTAACAAATCACTTAAACTTGAATTTTCGGACTCTATTATTTAATATTATTTATCAGAAAATTAATTTAAATAAATAATAGATCTTGTCAAAATTTAAATATATTAAACATATTAAAAGTGTTTATAACCTAAATCGATTGAATTTAGGGCATAACACTTATAGGAATAACTTCAAATAGGAATGAACCTCGATTCGGATTCGATTTCAGTAATTACATGAATTTACGAAATATTCGAAGTGTAATAATTAAGTTTTTTATACGCAGATGAATAATTTTTTTGAATTAAATCAAACGTACGTACGTCTGTCGAAGCTAGTGCCCACACTCTTAACCACTAACCAACCATGAGTCACAAATTTTAAGGTCAAATTTCCATGGCTTACCCTTTCAAATATGCACCACCAATCACAGTTGATATTTATTTATGTCCTAAAATGAAATCACAGCCTCAAAGGGTATTTTCGCCATATACACACGCATCTCTCTCTTCATCTTGTGGTTACACCCAAAGCACTAAGATTTTATAATTTCGTGCGTATGCAAAACCGTTTAGGTGTGTTAGTGTTACTAGTTTTAGAAAGCAGTTGATGGCCGCCGCGCGCTCTCCGGTGAAGCCTCACGTGATCGGCTCCGCCGTGTTTGAACTTTCTAGAACCGCCTCCCATATCGGAGCCCCGTTTTCCGTCCGGGTCTCTTCTCGGAGCCACTGCATTTCCAGCTCAGTTGCCACTTACGTTAACCGTCAGCCTTCGGAAGGACCCTCCTGCATATTTGTGGGACCCATTGAGTCCGCCAGCCAAGAAACTCTCGAAGCGCTCTATCGTCAGGTAAGCAAAAATTGTAACTGAACTCACATCTTTTTTCTAATAATACTTTTCAATTATATACTTATTTTTGTTGATTGATTGTTATTAATTACTTTAGGCGCGGGATGCATATTATAGTGGGAAGCCTTTGATAGTGGATGATATGTTTGACAGAGTCGAGGTATATAATTTTTTTCTTCGTATTATTGTAGAATTACTCATTTTAATGTTATCCATTCATTTTGCTCATGAACAGTATTAATGTAACAGTTAAGATTGCGGTGGTATGGCTCAAAGTATGTGATGAAGTACCCACGATGCAGTCTCAGGCGGCAATCTGCGTATGCTGATGCTGAGGTAATTTTGATTTTAATGTGTACTGGCTAATATTATGTCTGTATTTGGGGTTAATGTGTTCATCTTGATTCACACTTTTTAAATTAAATAGTTGATTCATTCAATCTTCCTTGAACGAAAAGCAGCTGATTGGTAATTAATGTGCGCTCCTGTGGGAGTCGAACCCACCACGTAGGCCCTTTTTTTTTTTTTTTTCCATTCTGCTACTCATACGTGCCTTTATCCAAGTCTTCTTCATCTGCACCTGCAAAGAGGGCATCCTCAAGCAGCTCCTTGAGGGACATGACAAGACTTCATTATGATGTAAAATGGAAATTTTGGTGGCAAGCAATGCATAGAAATGAATGAGTTTGAATAGTTGATATGTTCTTAGCCAATTTCAAGTATGATTTGATCCATTAACTAGACTTATTAGTCGATCAAGACCTAATTGTATCACAAAATTGCCTCTTACGATATAAACTAAACGAGGCTTCAATGAGAAGTATGGTTACATATTCCTATTCAATTCTCAAAATTGAGCATTGATAACATGTATAAGATGTTAATTTCAAAACTCACGTCATGTAAAGAACAATCTAAAAAGAAAACTTTACAACAATCAACAAAATTGAAGAAATCAACTACTTTACAATCGGAAGTCCTAATAAACTTACTATTTAATAACGTTTTTAAGGAAATATGTACAAGTAAGGATTAGATTAAAAAAAAAAAAAAATCAGCATAAGCATATACTGCTGAACATATTTACATTTGTAACGCTGGCTAATTATGCAGATATTGATACGAGTACAACTGTAATGATTACTTGATATCTTGGAATATTTTGTATAGAAAAGCTGTTGGTCCAGGCTTGGGGACCAGCTCAAATCCAGGAAACCTCAGCCCCCTGGTTTTGAATCTGTTCCCAGGCCTGGACAAGTAGCAGAACTCTATTTTGTAACAGCCATCTAATTGTTTGATAGATTGAGCCTATCATATATATTCAATCGGAAATAGATCATCATTGATGTGAAACTTTATTGATGTAATTTTTATTGGAGTTGTGTCAGTCCCGGGATAGTACAGTTCAGTCCTCTCAAGAGTAGCATGACTTCTATATCTGCTAGAGATGATTTTGCATAGACTAAAGTACTTTACCTAGAATAATACGTATTATTGTTTTTATTTTTCTGCTGCACTTGAATTCTGAATATGTGGATGTAGGGCAGGAAGATCCTTCACAGGTTTTTGCTTTAGCAAGCAAATGGTTCTTGATTCTTGGTTTTGGCTCTTCAGCATGTCTTTTTCCTGTACTCTACACCATTTGTCGAGCTTTTCAAGATGCAATTGATTCTGGAGTTGTTTATGATGGTCAAGCTTCTGTGCTAGAGTTTCTTACCACGCTTAACGGCACTCTCTTAATAATATTTGGATTCATTATAGGCTACCCAATTGCATCAGCTTCTGGTAATATATTTAAAATCTTCAACAATGCTCTTACAATTTCTTTTGACAAGCCATGCATACTTTTACTTCAGAAGATGAAAGTGATGTTGAATGTCTCCAATTACCACCTAGAAAGGAATAAGCTTCATAATACGGCGAAGTTTCTTAAAGCATGTTTGGGAGGGCTTAAAATCTCCTTATAATCACTCCCAAACCTGATTTCGTCACCATGAATTTACATTCCTGATAATATTTTGATTCATGCATGTGCGCTACGTTGAGTTTATTGTCTATGTTTTGACCCTCATATGTTGTTGCTGCCCTAAGAACTGTCTTTCTTCATGCTCACTCATCGACTGGCGGGAAGAGCTGATTAACTATATTACTTAAATTTGGAAAGAAGGAAATTAGAAGGAATAATTTAGTGTATTTTTAGTTTTTCCATTTATTTTAGTGGCTACACTGAGAAGTGGGATGCAAAATCCTTCAGAAAAATTTTGCTCCCTCAAAGAAGCGAGCAAGATGGTCTCAGTTGAGCATGTGTTGGGTGGTCTTATAATCTTGCGTATTTTATTTATGAAAACCTAATTTTTCTCTCCTCTTACAAGTAAGCTTATGAGTGCAAATAAGCTCACCAAAACCTGCTTTTAGATAACAGTTCTTTGAGGAAAAATTGATGTTGTTTGTTTTTATATTCATACCATGGGTGACAGGACCTTTTGTTTTTGTTTTTTTCCCCTTCTCCATTTGGGAGTGAGTGAGCGTTTGGGTCTAGGGGTTATTGAATATATTATCTTCTATTTTGATATGTGCATTGGTATATTGATCAATAGAGTTTTTGGCTGCGAAAATGTCCTGGTAAGCCGAGAAGAATCTAAGTATCTTTTGTAAATCATGTAAACGTTATCATAGACTAAGATCCTATACGTGCAACTGGAGCAGGTTTTTCCTGATTTCTGGCAATTTTCCAATGATACCTACTAATGATGATAGTTGTCATTTACAATGGCTTGATGTGTTAAATGATAAGGAAATATCAATAGCATTAGAACAAACTGGATTTCATGTATAATCTTTGAATGTCCCGTTGTGCATGTAATGAACTCATTGTACGATTAGTGTTATGCTTTCTTTAAGGTTGTTGATTATCATATGCACCTTCACAATTGAGTTGAATTAAATCTATAGCATGTTATGCTTCAAATATGCCTTCTAACTAGGAGATTTCATATAGTTGGAGCACTTCAAAGGCTTTGGAGTAGTAAACTGGTGGCATTGAAAGGAGCATGCCCTAACTGCGGCGAAGAGGTTAGTAATGGAAATTAGCCACCATATTTCAAACCTTATTTGAATTGTTGGTATTGACTATCTCTCACGTTTGACAAACACTATTATTCAATGCATGGATCATTGTATCTTGACCTACTACAACATTTTTTTTCAGGTGTTTGCATTTGTTGGGTCAGATCAGTCCAATAGTTCCCCTCATAGAGCGGAGTGTCATGTATGTGAGAGCTCCTTAGAATTTCGCACCAAGATTGAGGTACTTGGAGCTTGACTCTGATTTTGGATACCAAAAAGAACACGCTTTTCATTTCAGTAATGATACATGTTACTTGTATGTGTATGTGTCACTAATATTCTAATAGTGCCTGAAAGGTCCAATAAGTTGAGATCATTCTAGAAATATTATAGGAAATTTTTTTAAGTCATTTTGGTTTGTTTCTAGTTCCTCTATGCATGTTTCTGAATCAATGTAAAGCGGGTTGACAAAACCTATTCATGGAGCAGACTCAGCACATACATAGTGAGAATGGAAGGTCATTATAAATTTCACATGCTGGAGAATTCTGCACCCTTAACACTTTCTGGGAATTGACATTTCTGCAGCTCCGCTGAAGTGTTTTTTTCAAAAAATAATTGAAGTTCTATGTTTCAGGCTCCAGTAAGGCAATTCCATGGGGTTGTTCCCCAAAAGCTACTGAGTATCTGGGGATGGCTGTACAAGGGGATGAGGTTTAGGCACTTTGTAGCTTTTTCCCTTTTGGGACAGGGACAGAGAGAGGGAGAGGGGATGTAGGTTTGTCTCTTTATCAGCACACTCGTTATAAAGTATTAACCCATTAGGCACTTCTAATTATGACTCTTATATAAGACTTTTTGGAGGCTTAGGCAGCTCTCTAATTTTTCCTGGATTTTCATCAGCGTTTATTTGTAACATATTATTTTAGTTGTTTTTTTTAGGCAGTCTTGTGAGGGTAGTTGAGGTGATATTATATGAATTTTTGGGTGAAACTCAAAGGAAAGAATAAGCTGGAGAGTTTCTGTATTTACATAGCTGTAAACTTAAGCGTTTTGTTTTTGTGCTGGGCATAAACAAGTGAACCTCTTGTTTCAACATTTAGGGCTCATTTGACATGGCTGTTGCTTTTACTTTGGCTTCTACTTTCAATAGAAGAGCTTTTGGAGGATACTAACTTTATTTTTGTTTGGAAACTAATTTTCAAAAGAGCTTCACATTCCGAAAATGCTTTTAGAGGAAGTCGCATTAGACTAGTTTTCTTTAAAAGTTTTTCTAACTAGAATAAGCACTTCCATAAAATTAGTCAAACAAGTCTAAAAGTAGCTTTTGAATTTGGCTTTTCAAAAATCATCCCAAATGGGCCCTTATTTACTGATGTGCGCTGCTGCCTCTTATGGTATTAATATTGATTTGTAACTTCAATGTCATTACAGAAATCCATCTCGAGACCAAGTAATAGATGGGCATATGGCCGCATCTACTTAATTGAACAGAGGGGTCGATGTCAAAGATGGGCATAGGATGGATCTTGTGTTGATTTCTTTTGTTCTAGAGCTTTTTGTATAGAAGAATTTTTATTTTTATTTTTATTTTTTCCTCCAGCCTTTGGGTTGGCAAGCTGTAGCAATTCTAGTGCAAGTTCGTGTGACTGATGCATCTCTTATATTTTTAAAATAGAACAATATTTTACAATTCTAGTAGAGAAAATTGCTCTTATTTGGTTAGAAAATATGGAGGCCAATATGTTTACAATGGAGTTCAATGCATATTCTGTATCAATTGTTATATAATTCTAGTGCAACTGCCAATGCAATTTGTTAAACTATGCACTATTGGCATAACACAGGCTGCTTCATCACATCAATACATACGAAAATTGTACTCCCTTTGTCCCATTTATATAGGTTTATTTTATTTTCCACGCGGATTAGAAAATCTTATTTAATGTTATTGAAAAAGCAATTTTTGCCAATAACTTTCCTAGTTTTATATTTATACAATTTCAAGATCAAGTGGAAAAATTGGTTATAACAATACAAATTTAATAAGTGTATATGAGTAAATGAATAAAACAAAACAAGCTAAATAAAGAAACATGATTATATAAATAGGAGCAAACGAAGAAATGAAAGGTCCAAGGATGAAAAATAAAGACTGCAGACTAGTTTTGCCCACTAAAAAATTAGTGCAACAAATATGACAAAATTCGATTTTGAACTTCCTGAACGTTTGCAAAGCACAGGTTTCGCCTCATAACGTCTAAATCTAAACAAATCAATTATCATTCTGCTAAAAGAGAGAAAAAGGCTAGAAGATCCAAGTCGGGACTTGTGTTGCCGATCAGAAATGTGCCAAACTATATACTAGGATCCAAGCAAGCTGATCAACAGAAAACAAAATGTAAAAATGTAGAGTTAATTCATGAACACAGTCAGCAGATAGATCGTGTTTAAAACGCAATGAAATTCTGGGAAACTGCTTAAATACCAGAAAAAGTGATACTGAAGCAAAGAGCCCCTCCTGAAGTAGAGCTCCATGTCCACCAAAATCTTCTTCGTCGATTTTTAGTATAAAAGCGTAATAACCGTATATAATCCCAGAGGATAAAACCACAAACCTGAAATATCAAGACCAGCAAATCAAGAGTTAATTGAGGGATCTTTCTTGTTCCAAAGCAAAAAAGGTGAATGGTACACTTAATACATTAGGCATGTTAGGTACAAGTACTGGGAAGGAGTGGACAATAAAATTAACAAGATTTAAGCTTCTTTTTATTCATTAGTTGTAATGTTGTACAATTTCACCTTACCAAACAAGTTGCATTCCATTTAAAAACTGCTAATAAAGGGAGCCTATTGCATTGTTGAACGTAACATTTTTTTTCTTTTTTTATCTAAATGGAAGTCTGTTCCTTCATATAGAATCCGCTTGTAATATTTGAGTCATTATTTTCTAACCCAAATAAAAATCAAAACAGAAAACTTAAAACTGCATGAGCAAGGCATCCTTGTTTTTATTTACTTGAACTAAGCATATCAAGGGACACCAAAAAAAGAGTTTATCCTAACAAATGCATATGTGGAGTAGTTTCAGCAAATGTATTAATCAAAGTGATAAGAAAAAGGAGGAGACCAGTTAATTTTAGCTAATAAAAGCAGATAACGAAAGGAAAATTGTACATCATATAGGAATTTTAACGTGATATGCAACAAAAATGAAGAAAAACTTCAGTAAAATTGAATGTTTGTCACTTCTCATTGAAATGTACATGTTAATGACAAAATACAGGTATATAAACAAAAAACTACGAGCAGTAACTCACAGGAGAAACCAAATGCCTCCAACTAAGGGAATGGCACCCCATAGCAGTCCACATACAAGTGCCAATGCTTGTCTAATCCAATGCAATACATCTCCCAGTTGATCCTGTGACAAGGAACACAAACAATCAGTATACAAAAATTTTATGGCAAACACCTGAAGCATACAAGCATCCAACACATCTATTGACATCCACGACTCCAAACAACAACAAAAAGGAAGAAGGTAAAACTCTGCCGAATTAGGGAAAACCCCAGGAGCCAAAATTAACTATCTAGTACATATTTAGGTGTGGGTGTCCATTTTCCATTTCATGTCAAATAATTATGTGGCAGCAAACTATCCTGATTGTAACTTCTCCCAAATCATAATTAGTCTTAAAGAAACTCAAAAGTATTAAGTTTATTTTTTAAAAGAGATCATGTCATTATGTCAATAGTAGTTGAAAATACACCAATATCACTGTTAAACAAAATAACTGCAATTTACTAAGCCATTTTATATACAGTTTAATGGGAGAAGGGCTATATCACAAGCTAAGCAACTTGTAGTATCTTGCTGAAGTCTTAACTCTAATCTCCTTCAATAAATCATGTGCTTCAACAAAACCAGAGATAGAGATCTCCACATATTGTATATCCTCGTAAATAGTTAGAGTTAACTATTATGCAGTAAATGTTATACGGAATTGTTAATTCTCTCGAGAAAACCTCTAGTTGCATTACTTTTGGCATTGCATTCCTTTCAACTTCAACATAAGTACATAATCATTAAAGCAATGAGAGAAGAAACACATGGGGAGCTTTAAGCATGACTCAGGTGCTTAGAAGAGAAAAACAGAAGAAAAAATCTTTATTTATAACAAATTTAAAATTTGTTAGATATTTATATAGGATTTATGATAACCAAACCACGAAATAGGCTGCAATCCTAATAGAAGTCTCAGCTTTCCTCGCCTACATCTCCAAGTGTTTAAGATCAAAATATGGTAAACTAATATAGGATTTATAATAACAAAACCACGAAGTACGCTGAAATCCTAAGAGAAGTCTCGGCTTTCCTCGCCTACATCTCCAAAGTGTTTAAGATCAAACTATGGTAAACTACACTAGCACGTCCAATAAAATTGAGGATGAAAACTGCAACTAGTACACAAACTTGTGTCGGATTATGATGAGTTAATATCATTTTCATTGGTTCCTTTTCGGCTCTATCCAAATACTCAAAATTCAACAAACTTCAGCTCAGTTTACTCGGGATAATACAGAGAAACAATGACCTTACAGTACACAATATTGTCCTCGATGTTTTTAATCACAATATTCTAAACTCCCAATGACCATGTTGACCTTATCTCTGTTATAACTTTTTTCTACATTATTTTTTTCATTAACAAGCATCAGTAATGTATTTAATGCTTATCGGACATCTTAAATTGATAACAGATTCTCACTACCATCATTCAATTTTATTAACCTTCACAACGCATATATAAAATGTTAATTTCATTGCAAATAATGATAATTCAGTAACTTTAACGGCTTAATACAATAGTCAACTCCTGCAAAATTTCATAAATTTGAACATAATCCACTTAATTGCACACATTAATACGGTTACCTAAAAACACAATCATCTTTAAATTCTTTGCCTGATTATGATAATCATGTCAAATAATAGAAATTTCCACAAATTATGTTTCTTAATGAATTGTAATTAAAAATGATTCAAAATCACGCAAATAATAAAAGAAGCTAAAACCTTGTCCCAAGAAGCATCTGGATCAAATAGTTTCTCTAACTTAAACGGAGATAAATGACCGTTCTGATCCTCCTGCTGCTGCTGCTGTTGAAGATTAAATTTCACCGATTTCCTTTCTCTCATATTCAATTAATTAAAAAAATCGGTGATTTCTTCAAAAATCAAGTCGTTATATTTCAACGGATTTTAAGGCCGGAAAATACAAGAAGGGATTGTGTTTCAAATAGGAAAAGAGAATGGAAGGGGGGACCAATACGTCATTGAATAGTGTAGACAATCATAAATCAGAAAAAAAAAAATGGGAAAAAGAAAAAGCTTCGCTGTAAAATAGTCACGATCTAGGGAAAATTGCAGCAGGTCCCTAATCTTTCACTTTTTTGTAAACTCTACCCTAATCATCATTTTATGTCAGCAAAGGTCCTTAACCTTGTATAAATTAGCAGCTGAAATCCAACTAGATGAAATTTGATCGTTAATTGACCAAACAAAATGATTTTGCCCAAATTTAGTAAGGGCAAAATAGTAACTTTAGAATTAATATTTTTCCCAAATATTATTAACAGTTAAACTAAAAACCAAAATAAAAATTTGCCCCACCCACCCCATCTTCATCTTCTTCCCCAACAGCCAAACAACAATCAAAATAGTTGCAGCAAATATGCTAAAAAATTGCACATGAAATGTGGAATGTTGTGTTTAATAGCTTCTAGGTATAACCAGTATTAAGCAAAATCAGCAATAGCCCAATCAAGTAAGGAGTTTCCGAGAAACAAATGATTTTTGGTTGAAGCTCATTGAAGGCAATTTTTAAGGCAACGGACCATATCGAATGGTAACTCAATTAACATATCTGCATCTCCAAATAGATTATCAAGTTTTTCTATTAAATTGATTCAATTCGAAGGCAGATTGAGAAGGCATTCAATATTTCTATGAGTGGAAACAAAGGAGACTCTATGGCCTTTCTAGGCTATGAGCTTTGCGAGCTCTAGCTTTGGAATCAAGTAACTGAAGGCAGGCCATTGGAACATGAGAATATGCAATTTTCCTTGCTCAGCCAAGGACTACAGTATAGATTTAGAGGTGCACTGTACAAGATTCTCAAAAAAATTTCTGAGATATTTACGAGGGTTTGGTGGTTGAAAGATGTGGCTGCTGGTCCGATAAAGGCGACTGCGACTTTGGATTATGGTTTGGCTTAATTGTTGTTTTAATTGTTAATAATATTTGAAAAAAAATATATTAATCCTAAAGTTACCATTTTGTTTTTACTAAATTTGGTCAAAATCAATTTGCATGGTCAATTAATGGTCAAATTATCATCCATTTGGACTTCGACTGTTAATCTAAGAAAAATTAGGGACATTTTTTACATAAATTGAAAGTTAAGATAAAATCTATAAAAAGTAAAAAGTTAGGAAGCGTTGCTACAATTTTCCCTCGGATCTAATGCTATTGGACAGCAAAAGGTTCTTTTTTTGTAATTTTCTAATTTGTATTTTGTTTAATTTCTTGACTTCCTGTTTTTGGCTATTGCATGTGATGTTGGTGGGCATGGAATATGCCCTTTTTAGTTTGCACGTGCTGTGGAATTTGAGCTCACGTCAAGGCCATACTACCCACTACACAGTTGACAATATTGACCTAAGTTTGGCATGATTTGTAACCGGGTCGAATTGAATTGAGTTCATGATTATAAACAAAGTCGGATTAAGCATAAGTGGTAGGAGGTGTCAAAGAATCGAGCCCAGAGACTCATGCAAGAGGGGGCGACGTAAGCTCTAAGCCGGAATTGTCCACGAACCAATGTATTTTTATTAATTTTTTTTAGGTCACTTTTTTTTTTGACAAGCTCATGGGTTGTGGGGCTCAATCCATAAGCCACTCGTCAAACTTAGTTCACAGGTGAGTCAAGTTGACAAGCCGTTTGGTCCAATTGCAACTCCTAAGCATCAGTCCATTTAAAGGATCGCTTAAGGCTTTATGTCTTGATTAGCTCAATAAGCCCGTGTTTGTCACTCATTATTTTACTTTTTACCACATTATTTTTTTTACAGTACTAATTTCCAATCACACATTCTTCATAGAAATAATATTACTAGCGAATAAACAATTTTTTCTTATTTTTTAATCACACATTCTCCATTAATCTATTATTTCATAATAAATTTTTTCAAATAAAAGGAACTCAAACGCACACTAAATTTAAAATTAATAAAGAAGTTCTTGTCATTAATAATATTTTTTAAATATATTAAGAAATTGCATAGGCTGTTAAAGACCAAATAAAAAATTAATTTAAGAATATGAAATAATTTTTTAATAGTAATATTAAATATTTCAACAAGTATAATTTGCTAACAGTGATTTCGTCAATAAATAATGTGGGTAAAATATAAATATTGATATTAATAAAGAATTTTTTATAATGAAATAAAAATTTTAATATCAAAAATTTTAATTAAAATGAAAATTTTAATTACTGTTGAATAAAGAATAAAGACTTTTCTCGTTGGCGGTTAGCTACCAAAACAAAATTAGTATTTGTCGTCGCTAATCTTTGAGAATGTATGTAGGTAAAGAATATGGTTGGTGATCATTCATATTATTGCTATCGATACTCTTTTTTTTTTTTCATTTGAATTCGTTTCTTTATAATATTGTTTAAAATGCCTAAAAGATTTTGCCTAAAGCGCCCGAGTTATTTGAGTCGCCTTTGATTATAAGTTTCATTTATAATGAAAAAAAGGGGAAAAAAATTGTAAAGATTAACAAATTCATGACAAATTGTGAACTGCGCAGTTATGGACAATTTAATGAAATTTACAAAATAGGACGGAATTGAGAATTTAGTTTCACTTTTCACACCACTTTCTACACCCCATGCTTTGAATTAGGATTTTTAAATCCTCAACTTTTATAAAATTGCTTTTTTCCCCTTTTAATATAAAACATGAATTTTGATGTCTAATAGAAACAAGTTTTGACATATTGACGTTTTGTTTCTAAATATTGTTTTTAGTTTCGATTGACCAGTCTCTTCCAATTGAGTTCAATGTCCTTGCCTTGCTTGAATTGCCTCATAAATTGATATTTAACGTATTTGTTTGATCGACTACAGAGATTATTGTTATATAAATTCGATTAAAGACGTGTGTGCTCTAAGAAAGAGAATCTATGTGTGAAATAAGATTAATTGACTTTTGACGTGGATTTTGAGGTTGATGATGATTACATTGGCAAGAACACAATGTGAGTGGGATAAGAGAAATGAACATGAAATGGTATTTTTTTTTCATGATTATTTATTTTAAAAAGAAGCTTTGTAGACATTCATTCAAACTTTTTAAATATGTCGATATGTGAGGCGCGTATGCACATTTAGCATCACATATGAGATTGATGGTTTCTATTAGGACCAACTCAGCCAAAAATAGCTATAGATTTGAGATAAAGTTGGGAACGGGTTTATAATAAATGTTAAAAGGACGAGGTTTAAATGTGCAATTTTTCTATAAAAAAAATTGAATACATGACAATTTCGCTAATGACATATATATATTGAAAATAGTATTTTGAAGAATGGGTGATAAAAAGTAGGATAAAATTCTGGAAAAATTGCAGCAACAGTCTTTTACCTTTCATTTTTTGCAAATTCTATCCTAACCTTTAATTTATATCAATAAAGGTCCCTAATCTTTGAGAAATTAGCACATGAGGTCCAAATGGAAACCATCAGTTTGATCGTTAGTTGATTAATAAAAGTGGACTTTGACTAATTTTGACAAAATAGAAATGGGTAAAATAATAACTTTAAAATTACCACATAAACCAAAATAATAATAATAATAATAATAATAATAATAATAATAATAAATAAATAATGGGTGTCTCCTTCTCATCAACCCACGCTACCCCACCCTCTCTTTTCCAGTCTTACCCCTCAAATTAACTACCAGCATCGCCACCCATCGTTGACACGACTTCCTCGACAACTAGGGAACTGGAGGGGGATTTTTCTAAATGGCCTGTCACTATTCATTCTTGCTAAAATGTCTGTATTACTCTTAATGAAATGGCTTGTCATATTTTGCACAAAATATCCTGATTTATTGGAATAGTTCCAAAATTCTTCTATTTCTCTCATTTCGAATTTTAATATATAGTTCCATCCTTTGATGTAATAAATTAGCATAATCTGTGATATAATTGTCATATAATTTTTTAAGATTATCATATTTCTTAGATGATATATTCATAGTCTCTAGTTGAAAAAAAAATATTTTTATTTTTTCTAATAGTCTTTTTAACAGATTATCTAATCCCTTAATTGTATAGCATGGCATCATATAGATAATTCCTTGCAAGCTTTATGAATAATAATAACATGATAAATAAGTTTTGGCAAACATGATAAGTAATAATCCCGATTCTTTCAAGATATTAGAAGAATTCTTTCTAAATTTAACAAAGACGATAATTTTACCTTACTTTTGATCTTAAATCTGTATTCTTAGATCGAGTGACCTTCAGGCTCTGAATCTGCAAACTGCTCCCTCAAACGGCCTTTTACCTTAATGGGAATTATGCTATTTCAGCTTCTTACCCTCATTGTATCTTTTCTTAGAATTAAGAATAAGGATCTTAAGTAAAGAAAATTCTTTCTTTGTTAAAGTAAGAAAGAAATTATCTTCTTCAATCTGTCAAGAATTTATGGGATAGGAAGTTTAGAAACTCATATTTTTCTAATATCAAAAGATTGAAATTTTATTTATATAATGATTTATACAAGGTTTCTATTGTATACAAGGGGTTTCCAGAAAAACTGGTTTTAAACAAAGTTTAAAGAAAGAGAATGGTTTCTAACTCGAGATGATCAATTCTTTCCCCAAAGACCTCTATTTATACATTACTCAAACTTGCTATTATTGGTCTATTATATCACTGCATACATCAGAATTTGAAAAGGTTCACATGCCTCTCTATTCTTTTCCTTCTGAGGTCTACATTTTCACATGCATTTTTTGCTTTTTCATCAAAGGGGCATCTTTTCCTCTATTATTGCCTCTCCATCTTTGGCTCCATATGCAGCTGGCTAGATGCTTTGGTAGTGGTAGGTCCCCTTTTATTTATCTTCATTCATCTTTTATCTTGAAGAATCAATCTTTTAATCTTGTCTGCATGTGGGGCACTCCCTCAATCTGCATGATTCTTGGATTGTTGTAGGACTTCCATTAATTTGATGAGTATCAAATTTCTGG